GCTCTGCTCTGGGGAGACCCCCCTGCAGTGCTGGGGCAGCTCTGGAGTCCACAGCACAGCAGAGACAGGGACCTGCTGCAGCAGGGCCAGAGGAAGCCACAGAAGTGATCCAAGGGCTGAAACACTCCTCCTACCAGGACAGGCTGAGAGAGCTGGGGTTGTTCAGCCTGGAGAAGAAAAGGCTCCAGGGAAACCTTCTTGCAGGCTTTCAATACTTCAAGGGAGTCTACAAGAAAGCTGGGGAGGGACTTTTTACAAGGGCATGTAGTGACAGGATGAGGGGTAACAGCTTCAAACTAGAAGAGGGGAAGATTTCAGTTAGAAATTAGGAAGAGGCTTTTCACTGTGAAGGTGGTGAGACACTAGAACAGGATGCCTGAGGAAGTTGTAGATGCTCTGGAAGTGCTCCAGGCCAGGTTGGATGGGGCCTTGCGCAACCTGGCCTACTGCGAGGTGTTCTTGGCCAGGGCAGGGGGTTGGAACTAGATGATCTTTAAGTTCCCTTCCAACCCAAACCATTCCATGATTCTATACTACTTCACTGATCGTTATCCCTTGCATTTGGCCTCTGTAAAGTCTGTTTAGATCTCACACTCCACAGGGACAGCCTCTGTATTGCTTCACATCTGTAAAATATGCAGTCATTAATAGGCAGGAGTTCTAATCAGGTATTTTCTTCTGCGCCAGTGTGAGCACCCAAGCTGAGTATAAGAATGAGAGACAGACTACAGCTTCCACCTCATTCTAAGGCCACCCAAAAGCACATTCACTGTGTTCAGATGACAGCAAGTAAATGTAGCCCCTTGTCCAGGGTGGGTGCTTCTAGTTGCTGATCTGGAAGAGGACTTAACCCAGAGAAGACCTACAGAAGGACAGCCATCAAGTCTCTTTACCATTGCTGTACTTCCAGTCATCTCTTACAGGGCACACATATCTTCCCAAATAATGGCAAGCTTTCTCCTAAAACTCAATTATCTTCTGTTTTACATGCATCCTTACCTTTAGATCGTCCTTGAAAGGATCTGTGTTGGCTGTGCTCATTCGCAAGGCTAATTCAAGAAGAGCCTCTAGTCTTGTAGTTATGATGTCATCTACAGGCTTCTTAAGTTCCTCTTCTGTGAGATCCATGAAGTGAACAAAAAAGTCTCCTTGATCCATCAGGAAATAGTGTTTTATAGATCTGCTCAAGAAAATGGAGGGAAATTGATTATGTTTTTTACAGCCTAAATTAATCCATATTAAACCTAAAGGAACAAAAGGAATCAATTCAGCCAGCCTGCTGTGTTTGATCAAAAAATGTTCCTCTTCATACTCTACACACAGCCATTAATAACCTATTTGGAGACCAGTCTTTTATGTATGCCCTCTCCTCCTTCCCTCCTCAGTTAGGATGGTTTTGTGTACTCAGATCCAGGCTGCTGCTGTTCTTCTTTTCCCTTGAAAAATGCACCTTTAAAAAAAAAAAGTATGCTCTATATCACCTGTGCTCATTTTTTAAGTACTTCAGGTACTTAAGTTGACTTCTGCTATAGCAGGATGCATAAACTTTAGTTTTTACTTGGCATCACAAAGAGTTAATTGGCCAGGAGCTTGGCAGTAGCTTAGAGGTGAGTCTGAGGATTAGCTTAGCTCCTGGCCAAAGAACACACATAACTTCAGTTTTCAGAGCAAAAATAGGACCAGCACAGCCTTAATACAATGTGGCTGCAGACTCCCAGTCACTCAATTTGGGATGGTGCTCAGCCCCTCTGTTTCCATGACTGCCATTACTCTCTTGAACCAAGAAAAATCTTCCAGTCATGAGGAAGTCATGACAGTGTCAGTGGTTAACTGTGTGAGGACACAACAGGTAGGGGAATGAGATACTGTTTACCTGACACTATAGTGCAAACCCAAATAAAAACCTGACCTAATGCTGGTGATGATCCCACTTCAAGCAAGAGGTTTAACTAGAGACCTGCTGAGGTGGTTGGTCTCTTCCAATCAAGATTTCTGGGATGGTGGAGAGTCAGTACTCCCACTTAAGTGAGAAATGATTATCTGTCACAGGTCCCTGGGGTTTGATCACAACCATCTCACCTCAGCCCTCAAAGCACACATACATGCTGGAGGCTCAGTAGCTTCCTCCTCAACCAACTGCCCCTGCACTTGCACCCTAGTAGGATCCATATACACAGGAAAGCTGCTGAATGATGTAGTAGAGAAACTGTTTAAAAGGTGAAGAGGTTCACAGACATTAACCCCAGCTGGAGGGACTGAGCAACACCTTCATCTGAAACTATATTTTGATAGACGGGTCCAGCAGAGGACATCTGCTACCAGAACTTAGGAAGCTAGCGTCTTCTGAACAGTCCTATTAAGCAAAGAAGGCTCAGAAGGATGACAGTCACTAGCAAGGCTAGGAAGAATCTCCTTAATGATTGTCAGGTTTCAGACAGCACTCATGATCTTTCATGAAACAAGACATGTTCTCTGTTGGTTTTCACAGGGCAGGCAGGCACATATTTTCAAAGGAACAAAACATGGATCTTCAGGTCTTCCCACAACCCCTCTCAGCTGGAGCCACTGTGTTCCCAGGTCTGAAGCAGATGCCTTTGTTATGGCTACAGCTTTTCCAGACCTTGTAAAAAGCAGACCCAAAGCAATCCCATCTACTCCAGTTTATGTCTTCCAATGGGCATCTCCTTGTGCAAGTCACTTGGCAGGTTTGTCACATGAAGCTCTGACCACTTTCTTTCACACTGTGTCACTGGTTTGAAGCAGAACCTTTGGTACTAGGTCTCAGACCAATTGCACAACTATCTCACAAGCAGCTACCAGCTGCAGTTTCCTACCTGTTTGTTGCTGTCTTGGTCTTCTGGACAGCCAAGATTCCTGGTTTTAGTGTTTTCTGAAGATAGAACTCTGATGTTCAATGATAGGACAAGGGGCAACAGGAGGAAGCTGGAACATGAGAGGTTCCACAGAAACATAAGGAAAAGCTTTTTTACTGTGAGGGTGACAGAGCACTGGAACAGGCTGCCCAGGAGGGTTGTGGAGTTTCCTTCTCTGGAGACATTTAAAACCCACCTGGACGCATTCCTGTGTGACCTGCTCTAGGTGATCCTGCTCTGACAGGGGGGTTGGACTAGGTGATCTTTCAAGGTCCCTTCCAACCCTTAACATTCTGTGATAGTAATAAACTAAAAGCTTCATTCACACAAGGAAGCTGGGGTTTGCATGCTAGAACACACTAGCATTTGCCATCAGCTGCACGCATCATGAGAATCAAAATATTGGTTATTGAATTTAATTTTTAAAAAGGACAATGTTAAGAAAAACCCTGCCCTGGAACTTTGGGCTAATCACTCTATTCCAACTACCAACGCTTGTATGAACAATAATCGTGGTGTATATTTGGTGAGATGTCTAATATCAAACTATTCTTATTCATATTAAACTCCTCTTAATGATCCAAATGATACCAGGGAACTCCTTTCCTGGATGGGAGAGACGTGCAACCATGGGACAAGTCATGAGCGAGGTGAAGGATGTCCATATCTGAGGGTGGGTTTTGGGACTGGGTTAGACAAAGCCACAAGTGCCCTGGATCTAGTTTTGGCAACAACCTTCCAAAGAAGTTGGATCAGCGACATTCACACATCCTCCCCACCCAACATTTCTAGGATTTTACACTTTTTTCCCTTCAGGAAAAAAACTAGATCTTATTTTTTCAGGTCAACCTTTCTAACAGGAATAGAGAGAATACAATAATAACGTCCTAAGAAATGAGAGCTAATTTAAAAAACTTATGTCAACTACCAGAATCAATCTATTTAACATGCACTTAGTAAAATAAATCAAACCTTAGGTGAGCCACTAGCTCTTTCTCCTCCATTAGGAAATCCAGAAGGACTTTGCTAGCATAGTTGTAGGCTTTTTCTATTTGTTCCACATATGCTCTCTCTTTTAAAGTGTAGATAACCTCTTTAGCCACAGGGCAGGTAACGTCACGTCCACATTCTCGCACAACATTTAAGTATTTCCCTAGAGGAAAAAAGATAGAATGACCCACATTCATACCTATTACACATCCAACAGGGAAACAGACCATTACCATCAAGAGGAAGATATGCTGTGAAATGTTAACACTAAGTTCTACTGAAAGCTGGAAAGGATTTAGACACCTTTCAAAAAGTGAAACAGAATTTTAAATTAGGCACCTAGCATACCATTTAAGGAGAGATTTAGAAATGGTTTTGTTTGCCAGCGGTTGCAAAACATCTTTGTGGCTAGCCAGAAACTTTGAAGACCTGGTGCTGCACTTTAGAGGTAGCTTTTGAAGGGTTCTGTACTTATGGAAGAGAACAACAGTAGCAATCAAGTTGCAGGTTTCATTTAAACACCAAATTAAACTCAGTGTGTTCAAACCTCAGTTTTCCAGCTCCATCTGGCTATCTGCTAGAAGACTGTACTGATAAAACACAGCAGTAAGACAGACAGCTCCCCTTGCTGCTGGACCCCATCCCACGTCTTGTTTTACTTGCAGGATTTGGGATTCTTTTGTAATCTGATTCTTCTATTCCTCTGCAAAGCTCAGCTGGACAACCCCAGAAGCTATCCAAGCATGAGGACATTTACTTTATCTTTACACAAAGAATGGTAGTGCTCGTCTCAAGATTCCTCTCACATCAGAAGCATACCTGTACCTACCTGTGTTGAGTATTTTGTCAGCCATTTTCTGCAAGAAGGAGGGAATCTGCTGCTGAACAACAGTATATCTTTGATCCCAGTACTTGTCATTATAGTCCTCCTGAATCTTCTCCTTCTGTAGTTCATGTTCCTCCACCATGAACTCACTGAACAGTTAAAGAAGATGTTTAGAATCAGGAAGTGGTACAGAGGATTACTTTTTGTAGCAGTATACTGGGGTAACGTGATCTATCAGAAATAAGGTCTTATGAAAATACATCCCAATGAGCTGAAGTCTGTATTTGTAGTAAGAGAAATGTTACACAGAGTGCTTATGCTATCTGCAATCAGTTATGACAGAAACAGAACTTCATAGGCTTCACAAACCAAGTCTAAACATTACTGGCTTGTCATTCTAGAGGTGAGGAAGCCAGCCTTTGTCTGCCTTCTCACCATCAGGAAGGCATCAATTCTAACTATTTTAACTTGAGTCTTGCCCCCCTTAGGATTCCGAAAATGTGGGAAACAGTAATGTTCCATAAACTACTAAACACAGTGAAATGCTTCAAATAGTTCCAGAAAAGCCAAGAAACTTGAATGTTGTTAGCTCACATCAGGTTACCATATTAGTGGACTACATTTAACATAGATTCACTGAGTGATCACACCTGTGCCTCATGAGAAGAGGGTTCACCTCTGTGAAGAGGATGAGGATGTGAGAGGAGGAGACTTAAAGAAGGACAGGCATGGTAAGGTGGAATTTGAGTGGGCTGCATATTTGAATTGTTGTGCTATTGATTCTGGCATATAATTTCCTTGAACTCAGAAAAGTAAAGCAAGTGAGAGTGTCTCTGACTGTAAAACCACTGAATCAAATATGAAATGTAGCTAAACATGCTCCAGCAGCTCCCTTTCCTTGCAGGGCCGCCTTGTCTAGCTGCTGCTGCCAGGTCCAGGCTCCTGGGCTATGCAGACTCTACAGAGTAGAGGGATGGGCCCACTAAAAATCTAGAAGCCAAGACCCAAACCGTATTTCGATCCCTGAACTGCACCTTACCTGTATGGATCATTAATGATGCCTCGATATATCCACTTTTCCAGAATTTCAAAATAAGGCACGCTGGCTGCCTTGGTTAAATACAGGCAGAGCTCCTGGGCCTGGCTGTCCCCCGTGTAATTGAAGGTCTTGTCATGGAGTAAGCTCAAGGTTGATCCGCCCATACACTCACCTTTATCCACAGAAGTAGCTAAAATTTAAAAATACAGATGTAGGACACAAAGCTGACACAGATTAGTTGGCCAAGTTATGCTGTTAAATGTAATGAAGCTGGCAGTTGATTAGCTGACCACCCTAAGTCTCAGATCTCCATGTCAGCTGCAGACCCCTGCTGTGACGATGCAAGGCCACCATACAACCACAAGCTTACAACCTGAAATGCCCTGAAACAAAATCCCAAATGATCCAATGCCCAGGGTGTACAAGGAGAGCCTCAGGGAGCTCAGCTGGTTGGCTGAGAGAACAGAAGATGAAGCTGGATGTTGTCGAACATTATTCCTTCACTATCCAATGGATGGTTCTAGAGGAGGCAAGAGATTCCTCTTGGAGGAGCACAGTGACAATACCAAAAGGGCAAAAGTTAGAAGAGTGGCCATTCCAGTTGGAGATGCAGAAAGAAACATTCACAAAAAGGGTGGTGAAGTCATGGGAAAGGGCACTATGGTAAAGGTGGGGATTCTCCATTGCCAGGGATTGTCCAGCCTCGTCTGGACGTGGCTCTGAGCAACCTGCTGTAGCCGCGAGCAAGGGGTTGGATCAGAAACTTCCAGGGGTTCATTCTGGTTGAATCGGTTTGTGCTTATACATCCTGACACATCTGGAGAGGTCTCTGGAAAGAAGCTGGGTAGAGACAGCAGTGGTGGAAACAACGCATCTGAAGGGCATGGATTGTGGGGGTAAAAGGCATGGACTTTGCCTCAAGACAGCTTTGAAGGGCAGATTCAGCCCTAGAGCCCACTGCTTTCAAAAAAGAGCAATGCTCTGACAAGTGCAATTCTCCTTGTTCTCCTTTTTAATATAAAATAAAATTAAAATGACCCCTGCCCTGCCTGGATTGCTACTCTGTACAGTTTTCAGAAGCTACTGTCGTGCACCTGTCAAAATGTAATTTCTGCATTTCGAAACTTACCAAGCGAAGCAAGAATCTCCAAGGTCCTCATTGTGGGCTGGATATAAAACCAGAGTTTCTGCAGTGACAGAAGTCCCTGTCTCTGCAGATGTTCCAGCTGGGTAATGAGTATCATGTATTCCTTGATGAGAGTGCGCATCGCCGCGGCCAGAGCGTGATTTACCTGGCCGTACTCAAAGGAAGACTTCTCCTCTATAAACCTGTGAAAAGCAAAATGGACACTCTTCAGGCAAGACACCTTCTGTCATTGGCAAGAATTTTACCTTCATAATACTGTACATGCATGTCAGTAGATGGTGTGTTAGAAAGCACACCAGGCTTCAGCTGGAGTTTCAGGTTCCACGTTTGCTCTGTGTTCCCTTGCCTATTTCCCACCACCACATTTCCCAGTACAGAAAGCTGTGGGAAGGTGCTTCCTCTCAGACTGAAGAGGAGCTCAAATTATTTGCAATTCCACTACATAAAAAGCAAGAGCCAGGATTTTCAGGGTGATTGTCTTTGCATAAGCAATCCATCAGAGGACAAGAAAAGTTCTCAAAAGTAAGCAAAAGTGCACCCAGCCACGTGAAGAAAGCACTATTGATAGCTTCTGACACCACATGCCACAGGAGGGATTCATCTGATCAGATTAAGATGGCTCCAAACATGTTAGTGGAAAGAGACAGATGCTTCTGAACACAAGTCTGGAAGGAGACATAAAGAGACTGGATGAATCATTGGATGAAAAATAATTCTCTCTCTTTGCTGATCTTTTAAGGACTTTGAATCAAATGTAGACGTCTATGTAACAAACATCATCTGTTAGTGAGGTGTACCTTATACTAGGACCTTTTAAGAGTTACTTAAGGTAGCTACCAGAGACAAGGCAGCAGCAGGTTCTCCTGCTCAGAAGCACAAAAGGTTGTCTCAGTCCTAGATGCCCAGAGGGGAGCAAAGGGCAGGAAACACAGAGAAACTCCTATCACATGAGACAAGCCAGAATAAGCAGATATATCTTATCTGCACTTTGCCTGAATGTACCAAGACCAAGTTTGGACAAAGTGAAGGTAAGATGAATGAAGAAGTGAACTGGAAGCACAGAGCAAACTCAGCAAAAAGAAAAGTAGCTAAAACTAATTCAAATAAATTGTTACTCTTACTTTATTTAATTCTTACTTACTTTTAATTTAAACTCACAAGTTTAAATTAAGCTTGGAAGTTAACATCTGCACAACAACAGATTCTCTACTCTACAACCTGATGCTCAAAGGAAAATGTCTTCCTCTGACCAAAGTCAGCTGGGTACCTGGTGACAGCAGAGTAACTTGCTGCTACGGGAAGGATCCTGGTCACCAGCTCTTTAATGGACAAGTCCAAGTTTGGATCGACTGAAAACATTCGGTTCTGCCTGCCTATGAGAGGCTGCGCTGTGATGTATCTTCCATCCACACCAATCAGAACGTACAGCAAGTCCTCCACAATCATAGATTCTTGGGAGGCTAATGGCAAAGTACCTGTTTGCAAAGAGAAGACAAAAATAAAAAAAGAACACAATTGGAACAGGCAGTACTACCTGATTGTCCATCCATATGATTGCAATCTAGTAGCTGAAGCTTGAAAGCAAGACATGCTGCCACTCGAAGAGAACAAGGAAGATCACACAAAGCTGAACCATGATATAGAGAAATAAAACTGAGTCAGGGTTAACCTCAAAATCATCTAGGTTTCCAGGAAAAATGGAGTCCTTTATTCATTTATACTCTAAGCAAACCAAGTAGACAGGGCTATACATCCAACATCTATGGCCAGAAAAACATCACCCACAGCTTGCACTGCTGAGCCTTCTACCCAAAAGGGCTTGGTTATACTGGACCCAAGGCCCTCCAGTTCTGCCAACAACTCCCTCTGCCTCCCATCCACTGAAATATTTAAACATCAAGAAAACAGTTCCAATACAGACACAAAGAAATGCTAGCCCAACAAAAGCTGCAGGTGAACTGCAAACTGTAGGGTCTCTGATGGCGTGGTCAGCTACAAACTAGCTGCAAAGAAACGTAAAGGACACAACCCAAAATGTAATCAAGTGCATCAGAAGATTAGGGAACAGAGTGGCTACAGCATTAACCACAGCAAAGCTTAGCTCATGAAACAAGGCAACAATCCCTCTCCATGTGTAGGATTGTACGTGAGAGGACAAATGGTTCTGAGCTTGCTAGGAACATATCCTCACAGCATGTGTCAAAAGGCCACCACAGAAATGCACTGATGGACAAGCTAAATAAGGGCACCTCCAAGAATGAGCCTACTGTTTTCACGTTCCATTTAGACGCCGCTCAAATCCACACCAACACAAGGCTACAGTTTCTTCTAGGAGCCTCCAGAGTTCTGGAGAATGGAAACTTGTCTCTAACTCAGCTCTTCTCTTCAAAAAAAGGCTCTTAATTCTAACTTATGAAAACACACAGCTCAACCTAAAGGTCAAGCGCAATGGGGAGAGATTAGTCCCTTGCTGCTCTGGTGAGGAGAGAGACAGCAGACCAGTGAGGCTGGTGCAGCCTTGCTGGAGAGGACATTGAGCCGCGTGGATCCTTTGTCAGGTACAACTACAGATTTTTCAGCTGAGAATACAGAGTGATACTTCTACGGCAGGACATGATGGAGGCTGTGACTCGAGGCAGAGGTCTGGGAAACTCAAAACAGGTTAGATCCCATGGATCCAGTGGGGCTGGAATTCACACAGGAGAAACACTGAACTATGTAAGTTTGTTTGTTTTTTTTTTTCAAACTCCACTCTTCAGCTGCAAAGCACAAGGAGCCAAGTTTTGCTTTCACCCCGAGTGTCATGAAATCTGAACAGCACTTCTGAACAAGTATAAAACATAAGAAGTTATGGCAATTTTCCCTGCCTATATCACATACCTATAGGTACCGTTGTATCAGTGCTTAAACTGGTGCCAATTAAGAAATCACCAATAAGTGCAGGTCTCTCATACACCCAGGATGGAAATCCTGGAATGGGCTGACCAGAATTCTTCTTGTTCTGCTTATCTCGGAGGATTTTTCGTGTGAGCTCAAGTGGCTGCTGGAAAAAGAGAGAAAGAAGAGAGATAGGAGAAAAAAACCTCTTCAGAATCACAGAACAGTTTGGGTTGGGAGGGACCTTCAAAGGTCATCTAGTCCAACCCCCATGCAGCAAGCAGGCACATTGCCCACTAAAGCAGGTTGCTCAGAGCCCCATCCAACCCCAATTGGAATATTTCCAGGGATAGGGCATTGACCACCTCTCTGGGCAACCTAGGCCAGGGTCTCACCACCCTCAGAGTAAAAAATTTCTTCCTTCTACCTAGTCTAAATCTCCCCTCATTTAGTTTAAAACCACCACCCCTTGTCCTATCACAACAGGCCCTACTAAAAAGTCTGTCCCCATCTTTCTGACAGGCTGCTTTAAGACTTCTTTGCTGATCACCGATCCCAACAGGAAGGATATTATCATTAATGATCAACACACCAGTCAGATCCCTCCCTCTGGTTTTAAATCACATGAGGGATCTGAGGGGACCAACCACTGGAGGGATGAAAAGGTTGAGATATATTCACTTACAGTGCAAGACAGTGGAGACAGGAGCAAATCAACCAAGTACCCAGGTGATTAGTCCAACAAACAATGCCATTATTATAGATATACCACCACCAGGGGCTCTGCCTACAGTGAGCAGCTGGGTGACCCTCCCAATAACCAGCAATTTTACATAGCCCATTCACTACCTAGGTAAACTTCCCCCAAGCCACTAGGGTCAGAGCCAGCTTTTATCTGTTAACTGGGAGGCAGGACACCTGATCTTAATGCTGAAGGTGGGGGAACCTGGTGGTGATCTCCTAATTGGTTCCCACCCAATGCTGGCCAGACCCTGGGTGAAAACCAATCACGAGGGTCTTTCCTGCCTGGTTGTGGACACCATCCATATGCCAACCTTGAGCCAGGGCTGGGGGTTTACACCCCAGCACTTCAGTACTGGAAGGCCACAAGAAGATTTCCCTGGAGCTTTCTCTTCTCCAGGCTGAACAATCCCAACCCTCTCAGCCTGGCCTCACAGCTGAGGGGCTCCAGCCCTTGGATCATTTCTGTGGCCTCCTCTGGCTCTGCCCAAACAGGGCCCTGTCTCTCCTGTGCTGAGGACTCCAGAGCTGCCTCAGCACTGCAGGAGGGTCTCCCCAGAGTGGAGCAGGGGGGCAAAAATCACCTCCCTCAATCTGCTGTCCACACTGCTGGGGATGCAGCCCAGGATATGCCTCATTTCTGGTCTGCAAGCACACATTGCCAGCTCATGTCCAAGTTTTGTTTTTCACCAGTATCCCCAGGTCCTTCTCCATAGCACTGTTCTCCACCCCTTCATCTCCCAGCCTGTACTGATAGTGGGAATGCCCAAACCTAGGTGCAGGACCTTGCACTTAGCCTTGTTGAACTTCATGAGGTTCACACAGTCCCACGCTTCCAGCTTATCAAGGTCCCTTTGGATAGCACCCCATCCCTCCAGTGTATTGACTGCAACACTCAGCTTGGTGTCATCTGCAGACGTGCTGAGGGTGCACTTGATCACTCTAGGAAGATCCCTCTGTACCACTGATGAAGATATTAAATAGCATTGGTCCAAATATGGACCCTTGAGGGACACCACTCATTTCTGCTTTCCATTTGGACATTTAGCCATTGACTGTAACTCTTTGGATGCTCCCATCCAGCCAATTCCTTATCCATCTAGCAGTCTCCTTTCCTTCTTGGCCCTGGAAAATACCTATTGTAAAATTCCCTACTTCCATACTATACAAGAATTAGCCCAATAGCTCCCAGTGCCTAAGGGAAGTCAGTCAATGAGAAGAACTCATGACACTGTGGAGGAGCATGCTGGCATCTCTGTCCCTGTGAGCTCACAGCCCAGAGGCTGGGGTGTGCCTGGAGTAAGGTGTGGGCTGTTGCATCTGTCCCTATTAAGCAGGCAGGGACTGAGGCGTTTTCCGTATAGTGATCGTGAAAAGGGGCAACCAGAACCCCTGAAACAAATGCAGAACCTTCTTCACCAAGGGACTGGTTCTTCTTCACTAGTCATCCTCTAGGATGACAAGAGGCAGGGAGCTTCTGCTGGAGTTCTAGTGTAAATTTGTTAACTGGAAGAGTCAAAAAAAGTTGACAGATTTTGGGCTATAAAGGACACAGCTGTCTGAAAGGGGACATGTAACTTTTAACATCTTGGATAATTCTTGGGTCAAAACTGCTCTGAGCAACAGCTCCAACCACTGAAAGATCACTGGGTGATGTCTCCAACAATGTCAAGTAATCACAGGGCAGATGGCAAAACACTTGTGGAACTGGTGACAAAGCATGTGTCTCAGAGGCATGAATTGCCTTCTCTCTGCAACTTAAAATTTAGATTGTTGTCATCAAGGCTTCAGTGACAAGCTGGATAAACCTCCCAGGCCTGAAAATGTGGCCCCCATGTGCCAGCCTGGCACTTGAAAGCCCATGGGGCAGGGTGGCACTTTGCCACTGTCATGCTGATGAACCTGCATTTGGCATCTTAAGCAATGCCAGTGCCCACCTCCATGGAGGCAGAGGATGAGCTCACCTTCATGCTCAGCAAATGCCAGCTGTGCCAAAGGGCTCCCTGCACCACAGCCCTGGTGCCAGGGAAGGTGGGCAGTGGTGGGCATATACTGGACCTAGAGCACACGACCAAGGAGAAGTGATGGAGGCAGATGGGCTTTGCTGGGTCTGGTCAACAGAAGGTTTAAGAACAGCCTGCAACCACAGGAAGGACAAGTACCAAGATGATGGGTATTGAGGCTTCTCTCAGCAGTGGCAGCAGGTTCTGGAGTCTGCAGACACAAGCTGGAGGCAAGTGTAGGGATATAATCCACAAGCTGGACACAACGCTGGAGCAATGGGCTGAGGTCAGCTG